TACAAATTGATAAAACATTCATCAAAGTTTTAGAGCAGAAATATTGTTGGGAGAATCTGATATTTAAATTTTATATTGTCCTTGATATTACTTAACCATAAGCATTTTCTATGTTTTTGTTTTTTGTTTTTGACAGATTTTTTAAATGATGCATTAGAATAATTAATGTTGTTAAGTTGCAAGTTAGAAAACAAAAAATCTTGAATGAAAGAGAAAACATAGCATAGAGTAAGAAATTAAAAGTTGGCATGCTTCTTTTCAGGATTTAAAAGGGTTGAAGAACTTACAACAAAGTCCCATTGGCATGTTTCTTCATCTATTTCACTTAAGGAGGAATTTATTGGCCAAAGGCCCACCTTTATCCAGCCTATTTCAAGCTGCAGGGTATGCAGTGGGGAAACAGTCAGATTTCAAGCTAGAGTCTCTGGCATGCCCAAACCAGAAATCCAGTGGTTTCATAATCAACACCTCATGTTACCAACAAAAGACTTAGTTTTCCACTTTGATGAGTCTACAGGTGCAGCTATGCTCATAATAGTAGATGCTTTCTTAGAGCATTCTGGCCAATACTCTTGCAAGGCAAGAAATAGTGCTGGAGAAACAACTTGTACAGCTACACTTACAGTGACTGAAGAAGGTAAAGCCCCATTTTTATTTCAGAGAGAATCAGTTTGTTGTATACCACACTTCTACACTGTTACTAACGTTCTTTCTTCATTTCACAACTTTTCTTTAGCAGCTAATGTTATTAGTACCTACTACCTGTAACCCAGACACTCTTATTTCTTCTGTTTAAACTATAACATATTTGAAGATTTTCAAATTTCTATCTTGATGTAGATCAAGAAATAGAATCATTTTGCTGAAAGGGTTCAGATTTTTTAAAATGGAATTATGTAATGGCTATAGCATTGACTGAGGTATTTTGCATTATCCTGTAGAAAATAAAAAAAAAAAAAAGGAAAGAAAGAAAAAGAAAATACCTCCTTTAAAAGTTCCATACTAAGTTATCTAATACTGAAATTCACAAGTGAAAGAAGAAACAAGCATCAACTGTGTATCAACTGCATGACTAGACTAGTCATCATTTGTCATTCACATCTGTGAATAGATATTCTTTCTGTCAAGAGCATAGTACATCTGGCATGCTGAGTTTTCAAGTGAAGATCATTCATTTTCATCCTCCGTGCTGTATGATTTTGTTCACATCATGGCCCAGAAGTTCTTTAGATACTAATATTGTTATTTTTTGTTACTTGATTACACAGTGCAAGCCCTAGATAGGAAAAGTTCTGGGAAAGATGTAAAAGAGTCTATGCGGTCGCAGGCTATATCAGAACATCATGTTGCTCCTTTCACAAAGAAGAACGTTAAAGCTTTTCAAAAAGAATTTAAATCAGTGCAACAACCATCACAGGAATTGAGTGTACAGGTTTATGAAAGCATATCTGAAAGTTTGACCATGAAATCTACATCACTTGAAGAAACAGAAGCTATGCACAAAACAATCTTTTCCCAAACATCTCAGGACACCCGAATCGCTATGGCCACTGCTCAGGAATTGAAAGATGTTCCTCCAAAGATTCTTCTGCAACTCAAAGACTTAACAGTGAAATCTGGTGACATTGCTCAGTTCATATGTGCCTTAGAAAATGAATTCTTCTCCGAGTTTCTTTGGGCTCATGAAGGTGAAAGGATAGAAGTGTCTGAAAAACTGAAGATATCACAAAATGGAAGTGTCCTACTGCTCACGATCTTAAATGCCCAGCTGACGGATCAAGGACTGTACAGTTGTACTGTATATAATAATCACGGAGGGACAACAACTACTGCAATACTAACAGTCAAAGGTGGTTATTTGACTTTAAAAATTATGACTTACCTTTTGCAACTTCATTGTCACAGCCTATAGGTCACTAATATTTCTTTAATTATCAGCATTTAATTGAGAAAGCTCTAGTAATAATTCTTTGGGTTCCCAAACGCACATACATTTATGGCTCTATTCATAAGTGTTGTAACTTCACACTTCTTCCCAGTATGTAACAGAAGTCTGTGGCTTTTCATTCCTCATATCCTTCATGATGTGCAATGAGACGTAAGGTAGAACAGGCTGGTAGGAAATTTTCTATTTTGAGAATTCCTGAAGATGGAGTTTAAGGGAGATAGGGATGTCAGGTAAGCAATATTAAACTACTGACCATCATTTCAGATTGTAGGGGTCCAACTTGTTTCACATGAATCAGGATTGTAATTTGCTTGAAAGGATTAGTGGGTGCAGGTTCTCTATGACTGCACTAATGGATTGTCTTTTTCCTTTCACTTGCTCTGATCTAAGTATTTATTTTTGCCAAGGTTCCTTTCACTTCTTCCTGACATCAGCATATTAAAGTGTTAGTTATTAGCAAAAACTCAAAAATGTGTTATTACTACAATAGACAGGTTATAGTATTTCTGAGCTTGAAGGAATCAAGAGCAGAAAAATAATGAGGAAATTATTGATGCAGTAACATTGATTTGGCTCTTACATACTGACATTTCTTTAATCATTGCTGAACTGTGTGTAGTAGTTTACGTAATTTTCTGCTGCTACTTTTCTGCAGCTACATCTGCTGCTACATTGAAGCTCTAAAAAAGTGAAGATAGGTGTGTATTAGGCCTTATGGACCCAATCTTGGTCCCATGAAAGTCACATAGACTCAAGTGGGACCTCAGCTTAGCAGGAAAAGAGCTCTTAAATGTGTAATCAGTCATATTTAATAGCCTTGTGACACTAATATGTTAGACATTCTTTTCAGTACTAATTAATGCTTGTTTTTCTTCCCCACCTAAATATAAGGATGCTTTTTATTCCTGCAAAACATCTGACCTAATCCTTTTCCTAACTTTATTCTTACCTAGCTAAAGAAGCACAAGCCAAAGCAGTAACAAAAATTACCCTTGAATCAGATACTAAAAGCTTTAAAGCAGCCAAAGATTGTCAGTTTAAAGCATCTGAAGTTAAGCAAGAATCATCCAAGAAAACCTCAAGCTTATTTGTATCTACCTCCCAAAGACTACATGAAGCTGAGAAGCAAAGAAGCAGAGTCTACTATCCTGATGTTGTGCCATGTGAAGACATTGCAGAAACTGATGCTAGAGCACCAAAGTTTCTTGAAACTCTTCCTTCAGAAACCATTGTAAAAGAAGGAGATGATGTTTTACTCTTTTGTATAATGAAGGGTGTGCCTACACCTTGTGTGGTCTGGCTGTTCAATCAGCTAATAGTTGAGGAGTCTGCATTGTGTTCCTTAAAACATGATGGGCCACTGTGCAGTTTAAGATTGTTGAAAGTTGGTCAGAACCACAAGGGTATATACAAGTGCAGAATAGTTAATCCTGCAGGACAAGCCGAGTGCAGCACCCATCTGAGAGTGACAGGTTGGCAACTGCATGCTCCTTCCAAGTATCATTTCCTCTTTCATAACATCATTGCATTACAGTACATTCATTCCCTGGGAGATGATAAAGAACGAGAAACATCTCATAAGCCTGTGGGTTGCTGAATGTTTTCTTCAGGAATTTAAGGCATGACAAAGGCATGTTACATTAGAAACCTTCTCCCACCCTTCCAAAAAACAAGCAAATCTTGTAGAGAAGTATACATTGCAAACAAATTTGAAAGCATTCAATTACTCTGTTCTCAAAGTTTATCAAATATTTGAGTTGTTTGGCATGCATTTATGTGTATTCGTGTGTGAATTTCTGTATCGTTGCAAGAGAGAGTGAATGTTTTTACTTCCTAAAATGTTGGCTCGTACATTCAGCAATTTTAGCTCAAAAAAAAAATTTTTTTTTCCTAGCTCCTGAAAAAATTATTCATGAGAAGCTAGAGGAAGAGATTGAAATGGAAGTGAAAGGTACAGTCACTAATAATGTTACACTGAATAAGTAGTTACCAGTATTTAGTAACACTCTGAAAAGCGTTTATCTGCTTCTGTGTAGTGTCTGATGGGGAAAAACAGACACATTTTAAAGCATATTGGAACATGTTGCATGTTTGTTTTGATATGCAAAGATTACCTGCATTATAAAGTTATTTAAGTTTTAAATTGTTTAAAACTTCAAATTTATAATTTTGCAGCTATATTCTGAACTTTTACTTCATGCTTTGCAGCTATTCACAGAGCTTTTATTTGTTCAATTTCCTTTTGAACGCATGGAATAGTTTACTTCAGAAGGAAGCTATATAAATTTTAATCATATTATTTTTAAGCAAGTTATCAACCTAATCTTAATCAGTTCAGTGGACATTATCAGATGGATGAATTCTACTAGAAAGCATTTGTTTAGGATATGTGAAAGCTATACGTTCCCATTGATTCCTTGCACTTCATCTACGTACATTAATTCATCATTATACATCTCTTACCCTGGCTTGCAGATAGCATATGTGGTTCATGTTGCTTGCCTTTTTTTTTTTTTTCTTCCCTGTGCATAACACTGTGAAGTTAGTGGCTGTATTAGTTCGAATAAACGCCTTCTCATTTCATGTTAGCTAATTACTTATGTTTTTTGTATATCTTTCAAAATATTTTTTCTCAATTGTTTGAACATTTAATCTATAAACAGAAGGGTCAGAAAGGGCGTTTATTCTACTGTCTGCAAGTCAGGTAAGATTTTCTTCTTTGCTACCCAAAGACACACAGCTTTTCCAGGCAGCAAAAACATACACACAGAAGAACGTGTTATTTTGAAATTCATTTTTGCTTGTTCAAGAAGAAATTTCCACAGTCTGAAGAAAGAAAAGACAACGAACGATTTTCGTGTCAATCTTTTAAACAGAGCAAGGCATTGCGTTTATTCGAACAAATATGGTGAGTGAATTACTTTTTTTTTCCTGGGTGTGTGATGAAATGTTGCATGCCCATTTTTTAATTCAATATATTGCTATTTAATTTTTTCAATCAGATAGCAGGCAGAGTGGGGCATGCTATAATCCAATCTCATTTTCTTGCAGGGCAGCACAGCAAGTTGAACCTCGAGGAACCTGAGGCAGCGGCAGTGTTGGACTGTCCCCAGAACTGCAAACCCACCTTCATGCAGGGCCTCAAGTGTAGGTCTGTTTTGGAGGGGGACCCTGCTGTCTTCCAGTGCAAGCTGGTGGCCTGCCCGCCACCCCATATGGCATGGTTTCACAACAACAGGCCAGTCCGCCAGGACTGCCGCAAAGTGATTCGCACTGAGAGTGAGGAGCACATGCATAGTGCCAGCCTGGAGGTGCGGGACGTGCGAGAACATGATGCTGGCAGCTACAGGGTATTTGCCATTAACAGTGAGGGCTCAGCTGAATCCACTGCCTCACTGCTAGTGGCACGTAGTGGTGAGCTTCAGGGCTTGGGTTGCAGGGGGAAAGTGGAGTTGATGCAGGAGAGCTGGGAGTGTCTGCTACAGCAGCGGCAGCAGGACCGGCTGCGGGTAGTGCTTCGTTGCACTGGTTCACCCTTTGACAAGGGGCAGGAGGCTGAGCAGCTGCTCCAGAACCTCTCCCCAGCCCAGGGCAGGGTACGAACCATCCGTTTCCAGAGGTTGCCACTAGTGGGATCTCATCGTCTGAGGCCAGCATGTGGTGGAGAGCAGAGAGACACAGTGGTGAATGCTGATGAGCTGTTGGATGAGGAAATCCGCTGGAAGCTGCAGCGGCTGCGGGAGGCAAAAAGGGCAGCACTGAAAAAGAAGCAGGAATCCTTTGTGTCTGTGCCCCAGGAGGTCCCTCCTGGGAAGCTCAGCCCACCTGAGGCACCTGGCAAGATGGATGGCTCTGAGTCCTTCAAGGTACAGGTGATGGAAGGGTATGGTAGGCCCAAGGCAGCAGGGAAGCAATGGCAGGCACCAGGTGGGCTCCTGGAGCCCTGCCCACCTCTCTTCGTCCAGGAGGTCAAACCCCAGGAGGCTGTTGAGGGGCACAGTGTTACCTTCTCCTGCCTCTTCCATGGCCGCCCGCAGCCAACAGTCACTTGGTACAACAATGCTGAGCCTGTGGGGCGCATCCGGGGTACTGCAGTTCACACCACGGGATGCCGTTCTACACTGACCTTCCCATCTCTGCTCCCACAGCATGGTGGCACAGTCACCTGCGTGATCTTCAACCCACTGGGCACAGTCAGCACCTCAGCTGCACTTCATGTGAGGCGGCGGATGCCAGCCTATGAGGCCATTAAGGAGAGGGAGAAAGAGGAAGAGAAGAAAGAGGAGGAGGAAAAAGAAAAAGAAGAAGAGGAGGAGGAAAAAGAAGAGGAAGAAGAGGAGGAGAAGGAGAAAGAAGGGGAGAAAGAGAATGAGGAGGAGGAAGAACAAGAAGAGGAGGAAGTCAGCCTGGCTTTTGCAGTGGAGCAGGGATTGCCAAATACCATTCCAGACTCAGACCTACTGTCACTGCCTGTGGAAATCAAAATCACTGCCCCCACTCCAACACCAGAGCAAGACACAGACACGAGGGAGACCACACAGCCCTCTCCAAATCAGGCTGCACCTGCCATAAAGCACAAGTTCAAGTTTTCATTTGATGTGGGAAATGAGCCACCCCAAATTGTGGCAGAAGCCCCAGCACACATCCATTGCTACGAAGGGGAGGCAGTTGTGCTGGAGTGTACTGTGTCTGGGCAGCCTCCACCTGCTGTGGCCTGGTCCCAGAACAGCCAGCATCTCTCTGCAAGTGAGAGGTTTATGTTTGAGGAGGGTGACAACGGCACTCATCGCTTACACATCCGAGGGGTCTCTGTCTCAGATGCTGGGCTGTATTGTTGTGTAGCCAAGAATGTGGCTGGAACAGCCCAGACTGTCTCTGAGCTGACAGTGCAGCCTAGTGCACACAAGTTGTATAGCAAGAATGGAGGTACTGAGGAACTGCCTGGCATGAACCATACCCTGCAACTCCAAGGCCTCAACAAACTTGGGAAGGAGGAAGAGGAACAAATCACATGCTCTAAGGAGGAAGAATCCCATCTGCTCTGGCCCTTGCAGTGGTCTCCATCTTCTCGTGAACAGGTGGAAAAGGATTTCAGGGAAAGTAAGATGGAGGAAACAGTGGTGCTGGATATCATGGAGGTTTGTTCGAGGCAGGAAATGGGTTATACAGAAGAGTGTGTGAGGGATACAGATGATATTTCTAAGATGAGGCAGCATAGGGGAAAAGCAGTCTCTGAGGAACATGGCTTTGGAATTGATGCCACTGTCCTGCACCCAAGTATGTCCAGGGAAGAGCATGAACTTGTGGCCAAGGATTCAGGTCACTTTTCAGAGGAGCTGGAGGTTGAAGGAGACAAGCTGGCACAACATACAGACAGTCTGTCCTGGGAATTCTTGAAGTCACCATTTATAGAAGTGAAAGGGCAAATGCCTGCCTCTGAGCAGTCTGCTCTGACAAGTGAGTGTGAGGATCCACAGTTTTTCATTCCTGTATCACCACTGGTGCAAGAGGAGAGTGACAGCTACTTGGAGGAGAGCAATGCACCTGCCTGGGAGGCAATACCTTCTGATGGATCTCCTGTAGATGCGCCAAGTGTGCCCAACCTACAGGACAATATTTCAAGCACACCCACAAAAGAGCCATTAGGCTTTTATAACTTCTGTGCAGAAGAGCAGCAGGAGGAAAAGGCTAAGCAGCAGGAGAGATCAGTAGATATTGAACAGAACATTGAGGTTGATGACCGTCTTCATAAAGAAGAAATGATTGGTGTTGGGGATGCTGCACACTGGGAAATATACAATGATAGACAAGTGCTGCAGGAAACAGAGCCTGACACAGGCAACTACTCTTTGGATCTAATTCTTACTCCTCCTGGCATAGAAAACACTGGTCAGGATTTTACTGAGGAAGCTGAAGTTCAACCAGAAACTCATTTCAAAGAGCAATTACTGTCATCTGAGACCAATGATACCAGTACCATATTTGATTTGAAGAAGTTTGTGGAGCCTTTGCCAGATAAAGAATCTGTGGACACAGAACAGGCACAACCCCCTGCAGGTTTGGAGAGTGTGCAGCTGGGAGAAACTGGGCCCATCTCTCCTGTGCACAAACATGAAGTGCTTGTGGAAGAGATTTCTCTAAGTGAGGAGCTGTGTCAGAGCTATAGGATGCAGCAGGAGGAGGTCAGTGCCCAGGAAGAAGAGCAGCCAACAGAAATTAGGCAGCCTCATTTGCGAATCCCCAGTGGGAACCTTGGCAGCATTGCAGTATTTGCTGAAGAGAGGACTTCTGCTGAAGAAATTAATGAGTCAGAGGCAAATGTCTGTGAAGAGGATTCACTTGAGGGACAAAATCATAGTTTTCTGGTGCAGCCCACAACAGGGTTCCAAAGGACAGTACAGAAAACACATGTGAGAGAGACTGGGGAGAGGCTGGAGTCAACAGACACTCAGACTGACAGCTTCATCAGTGACTTGAAAAAAGCTGCACTTGAGAGGAAACCCCAACCTGGGCATAAAATAGATGAGGAAGATGGCTCTGGGGTAGAAAAGATCTTTGAGAAAGTAGTCAGCAGTTCCAATTGTGAAATAGAAAGCGCAAGTTACCCTGAGGAAACAGTCAGAGACATCCATCTAGAACCAAACACAACTAAGGGTTTCTCATTTGGGCAACTCCAACTTGGTTCAATAATGGATGATTCTGTGTCACGGAAGGAGCAAAGGAAGGAGTGTGGGGACAAGAAGAGGACTCCAACTAAGAAAACCTCTGAGAACAGCTTGGATGGTGAAGGACTATGGGAAGATGTTTCTGCAGGTCCAGAGCCCAGTGCTGTTCAAGCCATAGAGTTGCAGCCTGACTTCTCCCTGGCCAAGTATTTAAGGTCAGCAGGGATGCAGGAAGTGCCAGATGTCAAAGGCACAGCTCAAAAGAAACAGCGAGAAACCATCACTTCCCTGGAAGTAGAGGAGGTTACCTTCAGCATGGTTTATGACTATTACAACAACCAGCAGGAGCAGGCCCGGCCCTTCTCTCCTGAGTCAGAAATGTCCATAGAGCTAGAGAGTGGGAACGGAGAGGAGTCACCTGATTCAGACCACTTCTACACACCTCCCTCTTCAGTGGAGATCTTCGAAACTGCTTCATCAGCATCCTACCACACACCACTCAGCACACCTGAGCGCTACTCCACTCCATCTGAGGGCTCAGAGTATGGCACACCACCCGAGCAGTACTCTACACCATCTGAGGGATCAGAGTACAGCATGCCACCTGAGCACTACTCCACACCATCTGAGGGATCAGAGTACAGCACACCACCTGAGCGCTACTCCACACCCTCTGAGGGTTCAAAGTGCAACACACCCTCTGAGCGCTACTTCACACCCTTCGAGGGACCCAGCTCTGCGTTAGGGGACAGAACACCACCAGAGCATTACCGGACACCCACTGGAGAGTATATGGATGCCCTGGCAATGTTTACTCCCTGTGAGGAAAGCTGTCAGACTCCAGACCACTCATGGGCTGAGGTGTTTAGGACCCCCCGTGAAGCCCTAGAGCCATCAGGCAATGAGATGCCACCTGCATTCCTCAAGGCATTGAGCAGGAGGAGGCTGTACAAGGGCAGCACGCTTAGTTTTGTGGCTGAGGTGGTGGGTGTGCCTGAGCCAGGGGTGAAGTGGTATCATAATAAATCTCTTCTGGAGATGGATAAGAGAGTGCGGATAGAGAAGGATGGGAACAAGTGCATTCTGGAGATCATGAACATCCAGAAAGACAATGAAGGACAGTATCTGTGCCATGCAGTGAACATTGTTGGGGAAGCTAAAAGCATTGCCCAGGTGGAAGTTTTGTCTGAAGATGGGCGATCACTAGCACTGCCACCCCCTGTCACTCACCAGCATGTTATACACTTTGACCTGGACCAAAACACATCCTCACGGTCACCTTCACCACAGGAAATCCTTCTGGAGGTGGAGCTGGATGAAAATGAGGTGAAGGAGTTTGAGAAGCAGGTCAAAATCATAACTAATCCTGAGTTTAGCCCAGATAAGAAGAGCATGGTGGTTTCCCTGGATGTTCTTCCACTTGCCCTGTTGGAGCAAGTTTCAGGCTTGGCTTCAGAGGAGAGTGAGGATGTGAAAATTGATTTCCAAGTGACAGAAATGCCTCCCCGCTTTGTTGTGCCCTTTGCAGATGTGGAAGTTACAGAAGGTTCGGAGGTAGTCTTTGAGTGTGTGGTTACTGGTACTCCTGTCCCAGTAGTGCAGTGGTTTAAAGGTGACACCTGTGTGACAACCACCTCAGGGAAGTATGTTGTAAGTCAGAAAGAGGGACTTCACAGTTTGAAGGTCCTTAATGTAGATTCTTCTGATGGTGGCTCGTATCACTGCCAAGCGATCAATAGGCTGGGAGAAGCAATGTGTAAAGGCTCCCTCATAGTCAGAGCTCAGCAGGGAGCAAGTGCTAAGTTAAGCAGTGAGGCAGACATGAGCAGTGAAACAGAGAGGCCCCAGAAGTGTGATTTGCTTATGAGTAAGACTGTGTCCCCAGGAAACTGGTCAGAAGTAGAGCTGGAATTTAAACCACACATGGAGAACTCTGAGAGAGCAATACAGCTGCTTGCAGTGACTGAACAGGAGCAAGAGGTGGAAGGGCAGAAACGTGTCGATACTAGTTTTGATGTGTTTGGAGAGACATCCCAAGAAGAACAGATTGATTTTAAAGCAGAGGACTCAGAGAGCTGCAGTTTTGAGTTCCAGGCCACAGAAACCCCTCCCAAATTTCTGAGGCTCATTTCTGACTACAGTACATTTGTAGGTGCCTCAGTTTGTTTCCAGTGTCTTGTGACTGGTTCCCCTTACCCAAGTGTTCATTGGTACAAGGATGAGATATTGCTGGAAGGAGACAGGTACTATGTGCAGGAAGAGCAGGGGGGTTCTCATAGCCTTACTATTGAAAATTTGATGCAAAGTGACAGTGGGAAGTACAAGTGTATAGCTATTAACAGGGCAGGAACTGCTGAGACTTGTGCAGTGTTAACACTATACTAAATGTCCGTAACTTAGAGTCTATTCTGAAACACGAAATGTTGTACACTGTTGTTCGCTACAGGTAAAAATGCAACAATCATTTTAGGGGCATTGATTTTTGTCTCTTTAGGGGTGAAATTCACTCCACATGGGCATGTTTCTATCTCACTTAAATTTACTTTCACTGGGGAATTTAAGTGAGATTTATGGTGTGCATAAGTTTTACACACACTTTCTGTACTGAGGTGCATTTCAGATTCCTCCCAAGCTCCTTACTCATTCTTGTAAAGATATTTTAATTGACATTCATATATATAGGAATCATTTGTATAGTGTACATACCCCTGTGTGTCTGTAGCCATGCAATTATTATTTTACGTAGGCTAGAAATCACCTAAAAATGCTGGATTTACTTTTATCTTGTAATCTAACAGTATAGAATACTGACTTAGGCTTACTTTTTAGTTTGGACATAATTCCATGAAATAACTCCTTAAACTGGTATTTCCCCTTCTCACAATGTTGTGTCAGAAAATGTGAGTCTCTCTGATTCAAATCCTGTGTCTACAGTTTCTGTCATTGCAAAACTCTTATATCCATTTGTCTCACTCTGTTGACTCATGGAATCCTATGATTTTTTATTTATTTTTTTAATTCAGTCAAAGAAATTATTCTGTTGCAAAGAAAAGTGATACAATGGGAAGAGAATAAAAGTTTTGCTTTAGTAGAGACTGGACAGGATTTTTACTCTATTACCAAGTAATAAACATAAAAATCTATTTTGTACTGTATCTTTAAAAGTTAAAGAGAAAGGAGAGGGAGCTTAATAAATCCATGATGTAACTGTAAATTCATTAATATAATTTTTTTGGCCCCATATGCCAGTGTCATTCATAGGAAATACATAGTAGTAAAAAATAAATAAATAATTTAAAAAAATGCAGTATTCTTGTTTCACATTAGAACTAAATCTCTACAAATTCTTTTTTTTCCATTTCTTTTTTTTTTTTTTTATTAGTAAAAGTTATGTGTGCTGTTTCAATATGACCAGAAGTAAATAGAATACATTCAATTGTTACCTGTGGCATTTTCTCAGCATAAAACATTTTTACATTAATGTTCTTGGTGTGAGGATATAATTTTGTATTTAAAAATAATATTTAGGAGGAGGAATCAGCTGTAGCTGACATAATTAAATCAAAGCTAAATTAATCTGTCTTACATAAACAATGATAATTTGATTAAGCATGTTAAAAGTATAAGTTATTAATATTTATCAGAAGTTAAATAACTGTAATGCATGTGCCAGCTTTCCAGTTGCAAATGTTCCAAAGTGAAACCCTAAACAACCCTTAGCAAAAATTACTTTTACTTTAATTATTTGTTTATGATGTTCACCACATTATTTACAAATTGCTATCTGTTGCCTTGCAAACTTCTTTAAGGAGAATGGTGATTTTAAGTGTGAGGGAACTATTACTACAGTACAGCCAGCTATGTTCATGCATGTTCTTGTTTCTGAGTTTGACATATCCTCACAATGAGGTCAGTATGCCTCAAAAACTCGATCTTTTAAGATAATCTCATCACTTACTTTGAATAGTCATTTTTGTTCAAAAGATACACATTCCCCAATTCTGCTGCCCAGTATAAACTCAAATTGTAGGAGAGGCAACTTCTAGTGACCCAGTATGTGGGCAAAATGACTGGAGTGGTTAGGTTAATGCCATTATGTCACTTTGGTTTCTTCCCAGTCATGACCCCATAAAGAATATTTAAGTATATTGTTAATAGGTGGAGAAAATTTTAATTTTTTTTAGGTAACAGTGGTAGGAAAGAGAAGTGGGAGTGTCTGACCCAACATTGTGATGGGAGTTAATTGCTTCTTCATCTGTCCTTATCCATTCCTTGTGCAGATGTGTAACACTAACTGATTCATTAGGCAGCAGAGGTCCCTAGGGAAGTTGAAAAGAATCGTTCTATGCTATGCATTAGCTGTGACATGAGTCTTTTAGGTACAAAGTCAATGAGGCCAGAAAGCCTTTGGTTCGGCCCTAAGCAGTTATGACCTGGGTTTAATTTGCACATAAATTAACTGATTTTTTTTAGTAGAAATATGTCTACTTCAAAGCCTTGTATCCAAACAGGTCCAAGTTCATAATCACACCTGAAATATATGGCCAGGCATATTTATCTATATCTGTGCAGCAGTGTTTGTGTTTTTCTGTAAGCTTAAAAGTCTGATTTTAAGTTTCATACGTTAGCCAGGAGCACTATGTTGTGCGTGTAAAGATAGAAAGCCTTACCTAAGATACAACAGTATAAATCTGGAATAATTCTAGTTTAAATAAACTTCCTCTGGGGCAACTGGTATAGCGTTAAGCCATGTTTGATCATCTCCCTTCAAAATGTTTTGCTTTCAAAGGAATTTAAAATATCACAATTTTATTCTCAGGTTTAATGTCTTCAATTTTACAAGTCATGTATCTTTAAAAAAAAAAAAAAGGTGAATTATGTTTGTCACCAATGTGTACATGTTAGCATGTATGGATAATTTGTGAAATAAATATGTAAAATATTTAAGTCCATCGCTTCTTGTACTTTATTCATTTCACAGACATAGCTACAATATAAAATAATCTGTATTTTTTGTCATAAATATGACAAACATGAACACAAAAAAGTGCATTAATTTGTACTCCATGCCTGTATAATGTCTTCCCATGTCTGTTATCATAAGTTCCTTTCTGCAATTTTTATACCTTCTTATGGGCCCTATTTCAATTGATCATCCTCAAGTTCACTAGCACATTATATTTCTGAGGAAGTTGCTCTACTGGTTTAATGAGGCTGTTAGTTAATACTAAGGGACAGATGTAATTTATTTTTTTTTCCCTAAGTGTCTCTTCTGTGCAGGTGATCACTGTACGCACTGTGCTATGTCAAGTACACTATGATGTTTGTTTTTAGCAATTACGAATCTTTCTACAATGAGAAATAATTACGTATGGCATATTCTGTTCTTCTCCATAGCTGTGAGGACAACAGGATTTGATTTCCAAAAGTTTTATTTGTGTTGTGCTTTTTCTGGATAGCTTGTTTTGTTCTGGGAAATCTCAGAATTCACTGATGTTTCTAGTGTCCAGGATCTGCAGAGGACAGACAACATGTTCTTTCCATGATGTCTGTTTCCTCACATTTCAAAATCACCATTAGAACAAAGTGGTTCATCATATAACTGTCCAAGTTCACAAAGGCAAGAAGAAAAACTTTGAAGTGCTCTAATGTATTTTTCTTGGGTATAATACTGGTTTTAATATGCAGGATAGTGCTAGGGAGGGGTTTAAAAGCAGAAAGGAAAATCAATGACATTAAATCAAGAATGTAAACTCATGGTTTTAGTAATAATGGTGTTGTAACTGCAAGGGTCTACTGTTAAAAAAAAAAGGGGGGGGGGGAGAGGGGCAGGATAAAGGTGGTAAGGGAGTGGAAATATCTTGTGTTAGACAAAAAATAGAGATGAAAGTAGTGAAGTAACTGCACCAGAAGAAAGTCTGGTGTGCTGTAAATTTTGTCATATTTTTCCAGAACTAAATCTAACAATCTGCTTTTTTCTTGGTGTTTTAAATTAAAACAGCCTTAGCACTGTTCTCCTGTACTTGTTTGTATGACTGCACATATAAGTATCTACGGTGCATACCACTTTAATTATATTTTTGAAATGTACCAATGTTGTGTAACTGTTACTTGTAGCATACATTGAATACTACAAGAGGTTATGACTAACCCATACTGTGATGTTAGTTTTAAAGAGAAGCCCATGTTGATCAAGATGGCAAGTTCATAAGTAACCTAACAGCACAATGTGTGTGGTTATTTATGGTAAGTGTGTATTTAACAGAAGGAGGACCTCATGTTCATTGCTACCTACTGCACAGTATTAAGAAAACCTCCACATATACCAAAATAGTTGCACTAACAGAGTTGTATTTTACTCTTTGCAGTTTATTGCTACCTTCAAGTGGTCACTTCAACATTCCAGTAAAACTAAACTAATTTTTTTCCCATACAGACTTCTCTAGTTCTCTTACTGTGTCTTCTGAGGAGGGAAGAAGTGAAGGCTACAGCAGCAGCTTTCAGTTGCCTGATAGAGAAAAAACACTTGAATTTGAGCCTGAAAAAACAGTTTATTCCAGTCAAACAAAGATGAAAATGGAGGAGGGGGGCAGTGCACCAGTTTTCCTCAAACAGGTCTCAGATGTTGAAGTCTGGCAGGGAGATGTAGCTAGGCTTTCTGTTACTGTTACTGGAAGTCCCACACCCAAAATCTTGTGGTTTTTCAATGGTGTCAAACTAACCCCATCCGCAGACCGTAAGTTAGTGTTTGCTGGAAATGACCACAGTCTCATCCTCCCATATGTGAGCATGCAGGATGAAGGCAAGTACACATGTATGGCCAGCAATGTACATGGTGAGGCTGAATGCAGTGCCCACCTCCATGTGCAGCAGCGGGTACCTGGGGCTCCTTGTTTTGCCAGGACACCAGACAGTGTGCAGTGTGCTCCAGGTTTCACCGCTGTCTTTGAGTATATCGTGGCTGGGGAGCCATGCCCTAATGTGGAATGGTTCAAGGGGACCAAGCAACTTTTCTCTGATGCACGTCATTCTGTGGCTCACCACCCTGATGGCTCGGGCTCCCTGACGGTGTGGGAGTGCATGGAGGAAGACACTGGTCTGTACACATGCAGGGCAGTGAGCACCTTGGGTGAGGCTGCATGCTCTGTTGAGCTCCTTGTGCTGCCCAAGGAACGTGCTGTGTGTAGGCAGAGCCCAGCCTTGCAGCACTCTGCAGTGGCAGAGGACCAAAGCCCCCTCTCCTACGAGGAGGCCAGCGAGCTTCCCACTGTGAAAGAAGCACTCAGTCTTGAGGCCATGAGGGAGCCCAGGGCTTTCTTCCAGCTCCAAGTAAGCCAGGTGGAGCACATGCTGCCCAAGGAGAACATCTTGCCTAGCCTGCCACCAGCCTGCCTCGCTGTGCAGAGTGTTGAAGAGATGCTGGCCCAAGCAGCCACAACACAAGAGAACAGCAGACTCCTGGCAGAGTCACTGCAAAACCTTCCTACTGGCCCCCAAGGTGCAGTGCCTGGAGCAGCAATTGAAACACAACTGCCAGGCTGCCTTGGGACTGTGGCTGCACAGATGCTCTTGCCCAAAGAGCGAGTCATCCCTGAGGAGGAGGAGCAGATAGCTGTCCTGGAGACAGAAGTTTCCCAAGCCCTTCTGCAGGTGTCAAGCACCACCGAGAGTTGCGCTATAGATGGTGACCACTTAAAAGTCCTAGAGGGCTTCCAGGCAATGAAAGGTGAGCTAAAGGCTGAACCCGGATTTCCCTCTGAATTGGCCTGCACTGGGAGTCAAGCTGTCCCCTTGGAGAACGTTTCTGCCCTGGAAACAGCAGAGGAAGATTTTGCTTCAAGAATTTGTGAGGGACAAGCTATAAGATTTCCCTTACTGCTAGAAGAAAAACAGTCATTGGAGGAAGAACATGTTGTCGATCTTGCCAGCCCACTTAGGCAGTGTCCAAGGGTAGAGAGACAACCCCGTGAAACAATGTACACTCACCAGCTCCAGGCAAGCCAAGTCCTTACCAAAGAGAGCCAGCTCACTGATCAGGTTCCCAAGAGCTGCAACCTCGACATAAAGTCCCAAATTAGGGATGCACTAAAAGCTGCAGTTGTAAGTGAGCAAAATGTCTTGTTTACAGAATGGTTGGCTGATAAAGTAAGCATTGAAGTACAGACAATTAATATCACCAAGGAACATAAACACACTTTGTGCACCTATGTTGTGACCACAGGAGGACTCACTCCCATAGAAGTCCCAATCTCCCTGGCAGAAGTCAGCATTGAGACAGCTGACCAGAAAAAAGTCTTGAAGGAGGCTTTCTATTCTCTTATTTATGAAGAAAAACATCTCTTAACAGATGAAAAATTCAAAGCATTGCCAGTCCATCTCCATTCACTTAACTCAGGAAAATCCTGTGATGTAACCTCTGAGCTGGAGCAACAGCAGGCCGAGAGAACTATGGAGGCAGAAATACCCCTGGAGCAGCCTTTGCATGCAAAAGTAATCAATACTGTGACTGAACACAATCAAATCAAGGATGTAGGGGCAGCTGCAGCCACTGCTGATGTAGCCTCTGCAGGTGTTCCTGTTGAGAAACCCACAGAAATACTGAAAAGGAAGGAGAAAAGGGAAGAAATATGTGAGGAAGAGGGCAGAGGGGGTCTGGAAAACAAAGGTGGGAGTCTAGAGGATGAGTTGGGCAAAGAGAATTTCCCTATTATACACAGCACACTGGTCGATACTACTGTGGAGGAAGGGGAGAGTGTCAATCTAGTGTCTGTCATAACAAATGTCAGAGAGGTGAATTGGTACTTTGAGGGTAAACTGGTGTCTTCAGGCAACAAATTCAAGTGTTTGCAGGATCAAGATACATACACGCTAGTAATCAGCCAAGTGTGTGGGGACATCCACCAAGGAGAATACACATGTGAGGCACTGAATCAAGGTGGAAAAAGAGCAACAACAGCAAAAGTCACAGTTGTTAAAAGAGGTTGGATGATGGGGATAAAATTCTGCCTTTCTAATACACTGTTGTGCTAATGAAACTGCCCTACTCTGTCTGTCTGAATACAGATACAATACTAATATAATCACAACACTAATCAGAGGGTCCCCTTTCTCTCTGGATTTATGGTCTCCTTTTATCACATTGCAGTCTCTTAGTCTTGCATCACACAAGCAAGGTCAGGACAAGTTATACTGCAGTCCTGACTGCTTCATCCCATGATGAAGTTCACCTATACTTGCCACTTTTCTCACTTCTGCATCCAGTCTTCAGAGTCATTGCACTGTTTCAGCACAATTTCTTATCCACACCACCATTTCTTGCAGCTCTAAGATAATGTGTATATGTTTATATTGTAATATTACCACATTGCTATTAAACATTGTTTTCCAGTTTCATCACTGTGTTTTCTGATGTCATTATGCACCATGACACTGTCTGTCCACAGTTGTTTTTTGCCTTTACAATCACTTAATGTGGATTGCAAATAAATAATGTTTTGTTTCAATTAGTCACTTCACTGTTACTTTCTAGAATGCCAGTATGCATTGCTTTGAATTACTCTCTGCTTCTGATTTCAGTTGCACCAATCCTGAGAAGGCGGCTTGAACCTCTGGAGGTGGCCGTAAACCATGTGGCCAAGTTTACCTGTGAGGTAGAGACTGCTCCCAATGTCAGATTCCAGTGGTACAAAGCTGGCCGAGAGATATACGATGGGGACAAATATTCTATTCACACCTCCAACTACCTTTCTACACTGGAGATTCCGAGGCCTCAGGTTGTTGACTGTGGAGAATATAGCTGCAAAGCCTCCAACCAGCATGGCAGTGTAAGCTCTACAGCCCTTTTAACAGTAACTGGTAAGTACAGAGTCAAAAGCACTTCAAAAAATGTCTTGGTATATTGTAATGCTTTCTGTGGGTTACCTACAAACATTTCTGGTAGTGCTATTGTCAT